AGCCAGTCAATATGTGACCACGTGATGCGGTTTCCCATACCGAGGGATGAGTGGCACTATGTCCTGGTTTGGTGAGAGCTGATCACACTGCTGATAAGCTGCTAGTGGCCAAACGGTTAGGCGTTCCAACTACTACCTGGTATGGGCGGGTTTGAGACCCTTTGAAATTTCGTGAGATGCGCACCGCTGGTGATTTCCAACAACGATGAAACAGCTCTACATGACTTATCGGCTTCGTTGATAAGACAAAATCCCTTGAGACATTCAAATGCCCATACAAATCTTCTCAAAGCATTATTTGAGATTTCTCACCCATTGCGTTGAGCTGTACCCTAGTATCTCCAGAAACGCGGTTTGTGCGGTGTTCATGTTTATCTGTATGGAAACTTCTTTCTTATCTCGCCCCCTTGGTGACCTGGCTTCAAAGCCAGACTTTAGGAATAATATTCGTACGGTTCGTTCCCCATCGTGAACCGCTTCTGTCTGCTAAGCCCGTTCCCTCCTCAAGTCTCTAGTTCCTTTTTTCGAGTTTTCTCATGCACACTGTTTATATGCACCTTTCTGGTAAAACGGCTGCCTGAAAGTCCTCCGGCAGCGGAGTTGCGAGCCTTATCTGTCCTCTGAATGGGGTGACTATGTCACTACTACAGACGTATTTCAGTAGCACAAAAATGATGGAAGTGGGTAGTCACAATGAAGTGCTCTTTTTCCTCCCTTGTACCATGTGAGACTGCTTCTTTTCGTTTTCGAAAAAGTTTGGTGACAATGCACAAAAATAAGTGGGTAGTCACAATGAAGTGCTCTTTTTCCTCCCTTGTACCATGTGAAACTGCTTCTTTTTGTTTTCGAAAAAGTTTAGTTTGAATCGGTGTTTTACTCGGGATGGGGTAAAACGTGGGTTGATCTACGCAAGATATAAACGATGCAGTAATTGGATAATTTTAAAAGTAATTATGCTGGAGTCATTGTGCAGATGCCACCAAGTAGGGACAATATAGGACAAAGAATTATCAAAGCAGCTAATGCGGGCATAAAATGACGTTTCGTTCATTACTTGTCAATCCCTTACGCTGTCTGAATGGCAGAAAAAACTTGCTGAGATATGACACTTTACCCCATTTCACAAGTAGGCAGATTAATTGGATACATAATATCAACATATTCAGAAAACCACAAACCATATGAACATTCAATTACGTGCCATCAGACATGTCAGAAGCTTACTCCGTGCAAAGATTTGGCATGGTATGTGGGAATATGAATTATTGTCAATAAGCACTAGTTGCTATCGGAATGGTCTCCAAGCGAAGCATAAAAACGAACGCCGGAACATCATGAGGGCTGAAAAAATGATAAACCTCGTGTACATGCCGAAGGTTAACCTGTTACCTTAGGTCCTTCACACATTACCCACCTCAATAGTAGGTACAGTTGAAAGACAATAAATATATGGAGGCATGATCAGATAGATTGGATTAACCTTTGCTGGTGAGGATCGTGGTAGTGTCTCATAATAGCATGTACGATTTCAAGTCAACAAAACCTACATTCAGCTTTAAATCGCGTTCCACGTCAAAGGGGTACAAATGTGAAATATGGCTCATGTTAACTTTCATGGTGGGCTTTGCCATCGCGTTCTATGAATGCAATTTAATTTATTCACCGAAGTAGGTCGCTATTTTAGGAGATCCAGTTCCATTGTGGTCACAACGCAGAGTGTACTCACATATATGGATTCTGTTATTTTTATTGACTAAATTGGTGCTCACCGTCAGGCTGAACGAAAGACTTCATTCATTTTCATGACAGAGTGTCAGCATTATTGGTGTCCCTATGCGAGATGCATGGAGTAGCATTATCCCCGCTTTAACTGTGTCAGTTTCTGAATTGACTGATGTACAAAGGTAGGTACTTTCGGGTGTAGATCAGCTACTATCAGAACCGGTACAGCGTTGTCAACTATCCATAAGGTGCAGATTGGCACAATCCAACAACCGTTTTTACTACCCACTAAAGAGCTGGTGTTCAGGTGTTGAATGCAGGTTCCCTTCATTAAACCTTGCCATCCTACATTAATATTTGGTTTTCCCGGCTAGTACTGCCTAGTAAAGAGAGAAACTGTGCCTTTCGTTGGAGTGTAGGTTTACAAACAGGCGTCTATCTGAACACTGTTTTTTCGCTGGCCATGCTAATCAAGGGGGTCATTGAAGCTATATTTGTTGTCGGGCACTTAAGGAGTATAAAAACCCGAATTTGTTTTTGAGTTACTTAGTTGAGGTATTTGTACTCGTGATGCCAGGATATTGATACCGTCTTCCATTTAAGGAGCCGAATCCCACGTACGACACAGAAACAATTGATACATACTTAGTTTTAAAAAGCGCAAACTAAAAACCTGTAAATATTGTCTCACCGACGCAGATGTGATGCAGAGTAGAAGAGTTTGAAACTTGCAAATAAACTACTGATCCCACCACGCATATAGGGGGTGTGCTTTCCGGATAAACTGACAAGATGCAGGTTTTTCTCGTTTCCAATGCCCATCTACGTGACGATGTCTGCATACCTCGTCACCATGTACCTCTTTCATGAATAAGTGAAACATTCCGTAACTTTAAGCTACTTTTGTCGACGAGTAGGTAAAATGATACCGAAGTTCTCCGCCCAGCCATTTACCAACGGATGACTCCGGGTTGTACTCTGATTCTTGTGGCATGCTCTCATACTTGTTACCGATCACTCTATTGCTAGATATTCTCAAGGATGTGCCTGAATTTCCTATCAAATGAGGACACAGCGTATCATAAGCGCGATATGTCTCCTGTCACTGTTAGCTTTTGCTTGCTGATGGGATACTCCTTTCCGCACACTATCCCTCATATCTTCTGAGACTGGTCCTGAATGTCCTTAGAATAACTACTTTGGAGCCCAAACTGATTGCTTTTTTACTGAGAGGACAGTAAATTATCTCTTCCCACTCTCAGCTTGCTTGGCCATCAGTGACGCCGTGGGGCATTCTCCAAAAGCGACGCCAAAAAGTAAATAGAGTTGTCGGCCAAATCCACTTTACACCGGATTCTGGGGAATCCTTTCTATTTGAAAACATGAAACAATTTTTGCACTGTGTTTCGATAAAGCCCTACACTTGTAGGTACAGTGAACTCTCAGGGGGATCAAAACAAAATTAATTCAGGTACAGTATGATGGGAAGTTTGGCATCAGTTGTAACCCTAAGTTATAATGCGTGATCAGTAACGGGCCGAAATTTATTGTAGCGGTATTAGCTGATGTTACTGGCGTTTTGGTTTTGTCTTATTTCGATGCATCTTATGTAGATTTCGCTGGCCGTAGGGCCTTATTATTCTTAAATTTTATTGGCAACAGAAATGTGTGCAAAATAATTTGGGAAGCAGTGTGGATTTGCCAAAAACTGTGCACTGAAATACACACCAACTACAGGCTAGAAATCTGGGAAAATGTCAAAATAACCAACTGAATTTCATGCAAAAAACGTTTGCGGACAGTCCCCAAGTATATTAACCCCAAACAGTATTATGCATTCGTTTCCCTATCGTCACTGACTTTTATCCAAATACTACTATTCGTAATTGCACATCATGAACCCAAGAGTTGTCTAAAATAGCTGAGGGATGTTCACGTTTATTTCGTTCCCGCGCAAACAGTAGAAACCAAACCGAACTTTCCATTAACCACATTTTTCCTAAGGCTACTCACACTAAACAGATCAGGTCTGTATTTATGTTAATATACCATCGAAAAGTTCGTGGGGGAAATGTGGTGAATCTTAAATGAATGGGAATTCTTCTTGCGTCTTTGCCTCTAAACCAGCACTGCAAAGGTCGTCATGTCTGCTCTGACAGCTAAATTCCAGACGCCATTCGGGTAGGAACTCCTGCAGTAAAAAATGGTAGTCCTTGACTTCAACAAATCGGCCATCCGAGCGATACAAGATTAATGGAAATATTTTGTTGTACTAGCATTAATTTGTCTGCCTTTATGCTTAACCAAAAGGTGTGGCAAAATTTAGACGGATTGGTACGTTGACTGACGGATGCTTTTGCATGACCTTCCACGTTGGTGATTATGGCATATCTATTTGGAATGAACCTTTTCGCGATTGAAAGGCCTTCCGTGCAACCTTTTTTCGTATCGACACATTTGATGGGATTTGCTGAATCGATGTGAGTACTTTCCGATAAAAAACGCTCCATTCATTTCAGCTGTAAATCGTATAATAACGTAAAATTGATTCAGGTTATCCCCGCCTCAGTTATCAAGGGTCAGGAGAAGAAAGTCGTGCAAGGAAAGCCATTATCTAACGGGCTTGTTGATATCGAGCTTGGGTTTGTCACACAACAAATGCTCTTCTTTCGAAAAAGTTTGGTGACAATCGGCGGATTTATGGCTGGGCAACGTTTCGCTTTTGACACAAAAGCTTCGTCAGGCCATGTGACTAGGTTCCGAGGTTGGTCGAGATTTAAGATGGAAGGAGAACCAATCAGCTAAGTCAAGCTAAATCTCGGTTGGGTGTCGGCCGAGGGATTTTAGTGTGTTAGTGGTTGAACAAGTGTTGGGTCGGTGGGGAAATCTACATGTGTTTGGCTCCATGCTTGTGTCTAGTTCTTCTGGTTCAGTTCATTTTATGACCCCTCTTGAACTTCGTTTGAGCCTTCCGTCAGTCTGTGTGGGTGAGCTAGTGCTAAGATATTTGTGTAGGAGGGATGCTGTAACCTTCGGTCCGGTTGGGATTTCCACCCCCATCCCCCGGTTTTTTCTAATGATCTTAAGTGGATTGACAACCACACCATCACGTGTCAACTCGGCTTATCTAAGACCGCTTTCCATACGATTGCGGGTTCCACACCCTCGATTCTATTCACGCTGTGATGCTTAGTAATTTCCACCGCATCGGCTATGAGCCGCTATGGTGTGAATCGCAGTCCCTGTCATAAAACTTCCACATTCTCCAGATTTATTCTATGTCCCGTGTCTATGAATGTACCACCATCGCTGAGTCTCTGACCAGCGTTTGGTATTCTTCTGCATTCCTTAGTGGTTTCTTAATCCTTTTTTTATGCTCACCAGTTCGAGTGTGCAATTCCGTGTCTGTTTGTCCAATATAAACCTTGGCGCAATCGTTGCAGTTAATTTTATACACAGTCCCTAGTCCTTTCAACCGGCAGGGATCGTTCAATTGAAGTGCGCGTAGCGTTTTTCCCTTCTGAAAATCTACTCGAATGTTGGCTAAGTTCAACAGTCTTCGAATAACCTCCGATGTTCCTGCTTTATATGGAATGACTGCTGTGCCAATCCATTCCTTACTGGGTCTAGACACTAGAGCCACTATCTTTCTTAGTTGACGCTTAATCCTATTACCTATTTCCTTTTGTCTTTATGGGGAAACTTACGGGACATAAGCATGCCGTAAGTGTCACAGTCCTAATCGATATGGCTGCGTCACGCAACAAATGGCTCTGTTGCCCGAAAGGTGTTGCCTCAATTGTGTAGCCATCTTTTTCTGCCATACTGGACAAACATCCATTTGTCGTCAGCAACTTGATCGGGCTATCACCTCTAACGCGTGATACACATTCCGTTACTCTCATTATCCTTGGTGAAGAAAGCCGTAGCAGCTGGAGCCACTACGCTTCGGTGCAGGGTTTATGGGATGAAAAACAGAGCTGACCAGATTATTGGCTATTTCGTTTATTTGGCTTGAAATAACCGATCGGATTGCACTATGTCGGAAGTTAATACAATCAGAAATTTGGTTTGCCTTCAACATCTCTTCTTCGGAATAACCGCCAATTATTGATTTTGCATTGGACGTTTCTAATTGTTCACTGAAATCAAACGACCGACTGATTTTAAATCTCTACGGATCTCCTCTTCCGGTTGTTCTTGTTCTTACTTGGATGAATTATGGTATCTCCGTTTTATTTCACAGGTTGACTGTTTGTGAATTGACTTCAAGTTTCACAGTTTAACAAATGGACGTTAAGCATGCGCCCAACGTATTTCGTCCTTGTTTGTTTCAGGGGGTAGTTAAGCTGCTGGTTTGTTTATCAGCCTTCGTGGTTTTGTCGTCTCTGGATCTATCCTTTTCCTCCGAGGTGAAATTATCCTCAGTGCACCTCTGCTGGAGGTGCACAGTTCGTCCTGACCTTACCGTCACTACACCTCGTGCTTGTTGGTTAACAGGTGTGCTATTGATTGGTGATATCGCAGTCAAAAGAAGTTGTCGGTTTTCTGTTGTCTAGTCTCCGGAGGTAGTAGCCCATCTAAAGATTTCCACGTAGAGTAACTAAGTTGGTCCTGTGGTAGCGTGTGTATCTGGGTTTTAGGTTGCGGAAGCCTCTCCAATGAGCGTCGCTAACATCACGGGTCACTGCATGCTTATTACCCACATATAATGGCTTGGAACCAATAGATGAACAACTGCGAAAAGTCCGTACGTGCTTTTTATCGCTAACGCACTTACTGTTGGGTCTACTTACTCTACCGTACAATTACTGACATAATTCAACCCATCAGTCTCTAAATGGCAGGAATGCTGAACAGTCTTTTTGTTCTCACCATACGATTCAGTTCTTTCTGATAAGTAACTGTTACCTGACCGTTTGACAACACCACTTATGGAAGGATGGAGACTACCAAATGCGTAGCGGCTGAGTATTTCGATGGTCTTTGCGGGAGCGCTCTACGAGAGTGACGTGACACTTCAAGGTATACGAATTCATTCGTCGCTTTCGGTTCTCTTTTCACAGATCGGTTGCCGGAGGATGGACACCGGGTCGAAACGTTAGCCCTCATTCGAGATTCGAAGAGACGAAGTAAAAGTTATAGAGGTATACACACGGCACGGCGCTCGTATACAGAAGTAAGTCAGTCTAGTGTCACTGCATCGGCTAATGGAAACAGCTGTCAACTGGGGACGTTGCTCCTTTTTCTGGCTGATTTGGTAGAATGATCAGTTGTTTGATGGCAGACAAGCTGGGATTAACGTAGAAACTGAGTACCGATCTGTTACACGAAAGTTCCCTTCATTAGGGTTATCACTGAGATTTGTCGATGCGCGTCTCTTCTAGTTCTCTTCATGTGCTTTCCATAACTCGAGATACGGCACTAGAGCCGCGATGTGCAACAAAGAAGTGAGTGATTAGAGTTCCCAGTCGGACTCACCTTGAATGTTACCGGGTGCAGTAAATTGTACGGAAAAGCCTACAAGGCCGAGTCCATACTCACCAACTAGGAATGGGAGTGCGATCTGGTAAGTCACTTTCTTTCCTCGTAGACAACTGCGCTGACCGTCGGTCTGATATTAAGGTTCCATCATCTACTGCGCGGATTATGCATACGATAAGGCATTTAATCTATGCTACCAAGGTTTCCATATGAATGGAGATGGTGGTGCTTCTTTCCCCCCGGAAGGGACGGTGGGTTAGAAAAGGTCAGCTTTAAAAGCCGTACACTTTGGTTGCCTAACGGCTGACCGTGTCAACCGGTGCATTATCCAGTACATTTGAAAACTGCTTAATTCCAAACAAGAGCCTGATGCGAATCTTAAGTCATGGACAGTCTGGCCTGACAAAGAAGTACAAAAGACATGATCAGTAAACTTGGTCGGTCTAAAACTGCCGCCTTTTTGGATGGGACCTCTATGACGTTACGCACGATTGATTAATGGTACTGGCAGCCAATTTCCCTCGCGTATCAAATCTTATCACCTTCACTGCGTAGCTATCCAACTGCCCACTTCATCAGAACAGTTCGGTACCAATGAACTGGTTCAGCCACATCGCTTGCGGTGCTCGGCAATCTCGTTCTTATTCCCCTCTCGGTAGCAGCTGGAACCGGTGTTACATAGTTGGTAGCTGTTTAACTGGCTGATTGACTCCTGGAAGTCATAAACCGACCTAAGTATTTAGTCGTATATACTGTGTATTGATAGGTTCCAATGGTGTACAGCTACTTCCCTTGTGCTGTCTTATCCCAGTATCTTTCTCCCTCTCCTACCAGATTTTGCGTGAGATCATTGAGCAGCAGACAGAACTGTTGCAAGAAGCCTACAAGCGACAATATCGAAGTAATCGAAAACAGACCAAAGCAGTTGAAGAGTTAGTTTTTTTTATTTTTTATGCGTTTGTTGTTGTATAGTTGTCGTGTTGTAAATATTCACACATTCAGTTGTTCATTGGCATCCAGCCAATTGGCTTAAACGCGAACGAGCGGTGACTTACTTGGTCATATGGTCATATTGGTCATATGAAAACAATACAACTTGCGAGCGTCACACTTGTGATGTATGACTTTTGCGCGAACTAGCGTAGGGAATGAACTATCGCAAACAACAAAAGGCTTTTCAGGGGAAATCGAAGACACGGGAGTGGACTGGAGCCAACGACCGGAGGGGGTACGTGGAACAAAAGTACTTGTATCCGCTCACTTGGAAGCATAAGCTAGCCGAAGGCGAGGGTGGGGGATACATAATCCTTCGACCTAGACGTCAATGAATATCTTGTTTCCTCATGTCTATACAGGGCCAATCATCAACGACACTGCCACGGCAAAGCTTTCGCAATAGAATAGGTCTTGGAATCTCAGAAGCTCACTAGAATGCTTTTTTTCCATTTTGTGTCTGGTTCCTTAATCGCTTATTTCACTGCACTGCGTGCCAACACCGATTTTTGTTTATCACCCCGGCTAAGAATTTCCATTATGATGACTTCTCCAGACTGGTTTGTGTGGTTGGACCGATCGGCACTACAAAGGTTCTTACTACTGCTGCTCACAAACGATCAGAGATGGGATCCGCTACAGGCCACCCTAATCAAGGCAACGGATCCAGTATGTTACGTTGAGACCGAACCGCTTTATGGCTGACTAGACGATACCAGCCTAGGTCTTCAGTTTCTCTCCCAGCCGACGGCGCCACTTCGAGCATCGCGAAAAGAGCCACTGATGCTTGTAGAACTTTCTCAGATTTCCGGACAAGGTGACTTCTACGCTGAGGTGAAAGTCCATTCTGCATTTGCTTGAGGTGTGGGAGAACGAAGCATCGTTGCCGAGCCTCTGAGTGGACATTTTGTCAGATCCCCAAATTGTCAGGATTCGCAACTGGCACCGTCAGTCGGAAGCTCGGTGTTTGCGGACGTTTTCCACATGAAGTGGACATGTTTTTTTAACTAAGTAGGGACTGGGTATACCCGAATCTTTGTGCGCAATCTGATCTCAAGCTGCGTATTTTGCGACCATATTTGACCAAGATGATCCATGTTGTTTGTGGCGGATCTGTCTGGTTCGCGTCAAAATATTTGAAATTTGGGAGGCCCGTTGATATGCGCTCGTAGATATTACTAGGACAGACGCATACACTTTTCTCAAATTCATTCTTTTTCTGCGCGGCGTAATCAAGAGTGTCTGTCGTGATTTGTTGGACTAGTTGCTTGATATTTGACCGCTGTTCTTTCTTTATACTCCAAAGTAGTCGCCATCATCGTAATTTACGTCCTATTGCACTTTCTACTTATACTTCTTGTTAAAGCCGACTGTCTTCACTGCTGTGTTAACCGGGTTGTTTCAGGATGGCTTCATGAAAGGAGCCGTGTGGAACATCACTTTAGTAGTGACATTCTGGATGCTGGAAGCGCTTATTGGTGATAGCAAAAGGACTCGACTTAGCGAAGTTGATAAGTCCATAATCGTTCTAGCTCCGTTGGCCGAATCTAGTAGGACGTTGACGATTGAAGTCACTGAGCGGACGTTCCGGTCGCCTTCGATTATCGAGGTATCGCGTCTTGGTATCCCATCGGGCATGTTCTGCTGCTCTTCGCTAGAATTTATCTCAACGACAATCGGCTTAGAGGTAGGAGCATAAAAACCAGTCACTATTGAATTCAATAGGATGTTTCCGAATCAGATACCGCAGTTTATGGGAGTCCACGGCGTGGGAGAGCACGAGTACTGAAGGCAGATTTGACACCACAGAGACCCGAGTTTTTCACCAGACCACGGTAGTAAGTTCTGATTCTCCCTACTTGGTTTCATTCGCCGTTATTGACTGGCTATTTGTTCGGTACTTTAGGAGGCTATTCTTTGACTATCGTCAAGCCATGAAGCGCAGGCAGTCCATCAGCGAATATATGGCTCTTGTGTTGAAATATCCAACCCTTTTGTTGACCAGCTCTGCCTCTGGGCTAGTTCAATCCAACTGATTTCCATGCTCTTACCGTTTTTGTAGAGAAGTTGGGTTTAGCCAACTAGACGGACTGTTTGTTGGTCTGCTGTGCCGGACACCCCTTCACTGCCGCAGGATGACAGTGTATGAGATGCTGCACAGTATCAAATCTTCTGACCGCGACCATACTGGATTATCCAGGAACCCATATCGGATGGTACCGAAGTCTCGACCTAAATCTGCCACCTTGACGTGGTGGTCCGGCTTGTGAGCTCCAATGATCTCGCGGGCTACACTGGCTGGAACTTTGTTCCACAAGGTGCAACCATGCCAGGAAGTTCAAAGAGAAATATGCAGATCAAGAGCAACGGGACTCCGTACTATGAGTAGTCCTGCTACGAGGCGGTCTGGGGGTAAAGTCGTACTATCCTCTACGACAGGAGTGTGAAGGAAGTAAGAGGACAAGCGTGTCCATATTCATGGAAGCGTCAATACTGCCTTTCCCCGAGGACGGGTTAGAAAATGTAGACCCTAAAAATCGCAAACTCCGTTCGCCCAACATTTGACCGTGACCGCCGGTGCATTCAATGCGCTCGAAATACTTTTAAAGTCAGAGTCCGTTGCGGCACAAAAGACACCTGCTACGCGCAACCGCATCAGGTCTTACTCCCTTCGCTCTAGGTCAACCCTTTGCAGCCGAGCAGGTCAGACTATTGAGTCGTCGGTTCCCAGCGTGGTCCCCGAACAAAACACTACTGTCCGCTGCCTTGCGGGTCAGACTTTTGAATCAGAGGCTGGCGGCAGGGTCACCGGATAAAACCATACATCCTCCCACTGTCTCGTGGATCAGGCTTTTCAGCCAAAGGTTCAAGTGGGTTACATTAGCCAAACCTTTTTCTCGGCCCGGGCAACCGTGAAGTATCATTTGCTCCCACGATTCTGTGTCCTCCGATATCCTTTCCAACTCCTTCCCACCACACAAACAAAATTTGCTGGATCATTTGACTGAGTTATATTACAGATGAGCTTTATGCACCTCGCTACCTATTAACACTAGACAAAATACCTTTCTAAATCCACGAGATTTTTTCTACATAAGAGCTCCTAACGTCTGTACTCTATGTCAAATTGGTAAACAGGCAATGGTCGCTGAAACCCTATACTTCCTTAAAATCGATGTATGCTGTGTCTCCGAAACACGTACAATGAGTCAGACGTCCTTGTACATTTCAAAACGCCAAAGATGAACTCACGTCCTTCACATTTCTCCCTCCATGTGCTCCTTGATTCCGAAGCGATGACACATGGAAGATATGGCGTGAGAGTTGCACCAAGTCCCAGAGTCGAACGCGTTTTGCTGGATTGGATTTCAGTGGACAATCGTTTTGCGCCGTCCGGTCATCCAGCTCAATCTGGCCCAATGCCTCTCAACATAAAAGCAGTGCCTGTTTGTAATGTCGGCTTCTACCCCAACGGACGGTATTTCTGATGTTGAGAAGGATACTTTCTATCGACTAAAAAGCGCTGACATTGCGATACTTGTCGATGATGTGAATGCTCGAGTCGGTCGCCTGAGTTCCCTGGGATCACATTTTGGCGATCGGCTCGTCGCACAGAGAACGGAGAGGGACTCCTCCAGTTGTGCGCTGATCATCAACTGTTTCTGGCCATTATGAACTTTCGCATCGACGGCCACTACCGTGGACCCAATTGGACCATGTGGCCATCAGCCACCGGTGGAGGGCCACAGTTCAAGACTGCCGTTCTTTCTGGGTCACACAACTTTATTCCGACCACGCTGTGGTGCGTCTACGCCCGGCAGGTCGTTTTCCCCCAGGCCGTCCTCAGCAAGAAACGTAACAATCCACCATCTTCGGAGAACTACCATAGCTCTATAGTATCGATCTCAAGTACCCCAACAACTCTAACAATAAACCAGTACGTTGCTGGTAGTGAGCACGTGGGTGAAGCATAGTAAAATATGAAAGGAGCTATGTTAACGGCGTTCAGTTCTGTCTGTCTGACTTCCTTGATTCGACCACAAAAGCACTGGATGTCGTCGAGACCTCTATCCGTGATTGATGCCAAGAATCCATATCAGCAGGCAGCGAACAAGATGGCGCAGGCATATCCCACAAACGCTAAATAGTAAAGAGCCTGAAGAAAGACCGAGAGCTCTGGTGGACATCGAAAGCTCGGGAGATGGAGAAGGCTTTTGCTATCGGAAACGGCCGTGCCCTATATCAACTGATACGATCGACTGTCATAGGAGACCAGCGGTCAGTGAAACGACAAGTGAAGAAGGCGGCTCAATAATCCACTCGCAAAAACCTCAACTGGAAGGCTGGGTCGAACACTGAAGAACAGTTCAGCTGGCCTGCTTCAACATAGCCTGTGGGGATATTGCATACAGGCGTATAAATTATCGCCCGTCGGAAGAAGAGCTAAAGCATGACTATCCGTACTTAAGCGTGAGAAGGACCGGATGGTCTGTATCCAACACTCTTCAAAGAAGGCAAAGAATCCCCGGTGACTTGTCCGGAAAATTTGATTGGTGCGGTATGGAAAGTGCCTGAATAATGGGGCATGTCAACAGTCATTCCTATCTTCAAAGGGGTACGCGGGCGCTGTGTGAAAACCACCGTGGCATCAGTCTGGTAACCGTGGTATCTAAGGCGCTCTGTGGTCTTATCCTTCAAGTGTTGACTGAACACAGGGAGAGACAGATTCGGGAAAACCAAGCTGGTCCTGCAAGAGGATGCATCGATCACATCTTCACCCTCCGACAGATTCTAGAACATTGGCAACTAACAATCGTTGTGTTCCTTGATCTGAAAGCTGCCTTTGACTTTGCGCAGGCATTATGTAAATGTCTATAAAACAAAGGTGTCCCCCATAAATTCTTGACCCTCCTTAAGGCGCTGTACGCCACCCCACGCGGTTGTGTGAACGTCTACGAAAAGCTTTCACCTTAGTTCACCACATCAAGTGGTATCAGACAGAGCTGTCCTCTTTCACCTTTCCTCTTCAACTTCGTCATTGATACGATTATAGAAGACTCACCATCAGCCACTAATGCCTATGGGGCCAAAGTGCTCTCGGGGCATCCGATCATAGCTATCGAGTACGCAGAAGACATAGCTCTTATTGGATCTGGTGCCGTAGTAATGCAAATAATATTGAATAATCTTAATAATTGTGCTTCACGATTGGCGTGCGTTTCACACCTGCAAAGTGTAAAGTGCTACTGCAAGACTGTGTAGGCTCGAACCCTAGCCTCATGCTTGCGGACGAGCCGCTTGAGGTAGACAGTCAGTAGACAGTATCAGTCCAGTTGGTCTAGCGAAAGACAATAGTTTCATCCGGATTGGGAAGGCCAGAGCAAATTTTGTGAACCTGTATCACCTGTGGCGTAGGCTTGACACCAGTTCATCCATCAAGAGTCGAGTTTACAATGATGCGGTGCGATCCATATTGCTATACGAGTCAGAAACGTGGCCGGTGCGCGCTGGGGACGTTAAAAAACCTTCAATATCTGATCATCGATGTCCCCGGAGCATTCCTTAATTCCGGTGGGAACACCGAATAACTCGAATAATATTGGAAGAAATAACTCGCCCATGATAGATGAACTAGTCACACTGCATAAGTTGCACTGGCTTGGTCACGTGCTCCGTATGCCTGTCGACCGACTTCCTAGACGGGCACTTTTTCACAACCACGTGAACGGTAGTGACGATTCAGGGGAGGTCAAACGGTGACTTGGCAGCGAATTATGAAAGCCATTAGCAGCAGACTCAGCTGATCTGGTCATTGCTGTCTTCCGGGATGGAGAGCCCAAGACGAGACACCCATGGTTAGAGACATCGCCCAGTCGCGCGTTCAGTGGCGCTGGTGCATCCAAGCTATTGCTTTCAATGCATGGCTCACCTCCCAGTCTCCTCACTTAAAATTCCACTGGTAAATCTGTATCTACGTATCATTTTTATCAGTTCTCGCCTCCACTGCGCAGCTACATACCTTATCTCCCCAAATCATCGGTGAACGAAACCGTGGCAGCTGCACGTCAAGTTCAAGTACACGGTTCTTACAGCTGGTAATGATGATGATGATGATGGTACTGAGGCAGATGACAGAATGCAACGCGGATTACAACTGCGGGTCGAGGTCATTTGGATCACACTAAAGCTAAGTATCTAAATTTTCTCGCCTTACAAACCTGGTTCGCTCTCGTCCGTGTTTCACTGGGATTCATCTCACTCTCATACATTTATTCTGTTGACGTCTTTGAAAATAATTTAGACCGGTCTGATTTCTTTCGCTCACCTGGTGAGTGTCCTTAAAGACGAGTGCTCTCTTGTTGCCGGGCTTTTTGGGATCCCACAAAAATCATGCCAAATTACAAACCCCTTGTTTGATGGCTATCCGGACCTCAATGAGGATCGATAAGTAACCGTACAAGTTAATAACTGTCGATCAGTAGTCTGATGTGTGAACTAGTTAACACAATAATCCACATTTACAATGTGAATCTCACTGTGATGTCTATCGATCCACCGGATTTTTGATTGCAAGTGAAATGAAACATCTTGTGAGCGTTACCGAACTTCTACCATAGCTGCTTGGTATTTTTATCAGGCGGTTTGAAAAACAAACTAGTTCGTCTCGCTGTGACCTTACTGTCAATCACGTGCAGTTGCCTCGTGATATCGTAGAATATGCGCTTTTTTAATAGCCCTATGTTGCCAAACGAAAATGTCGGCAATCTCGGTTTTCTCTTGATTTTATCAAGCTGAATCTGTATTTGGTAACCGTCATGGTACAGGTTTGCTGGTCACTGCAATTCGTGCGTGTAAAGTTTTATTCAGTTTGTATGTTTCGCTGTATTTTTAGTTTTCTAAATAGCATTTTATCTGATTTCCGTATCTCAATTTTTCGACTATCAAGTCAGGTAGAATTGCAAGATAGGTCATTACAATTCTTTCATCCAGTACATCCGTCCATCAAGAGGGTTATTCAGGCTCTTCGTTTTCGGTAAAGTGTAGAAAACTGTCGGTAGATTTTCGGCCAATACACTCGTTTGCACACAAATTTGATTTTCACGGGGGACTTGCCCGAATCCCAGCTGAATCTCTCGTTTATGGTGTTCGGCTGAATGTGATGCATCAGGCGGCCTCATTTGGTACGATGCTCGAGATATCACAATACCTTGTACAGAAGTAGCACACCACTCATAAGGTTGCTGAAAACTTCGGCAGCCCGCGACCAGTTTTGCCCTACTTGGGCCTTTATCAGGTAGGCGTGTTCCCCGAGTTCCCGGCGAACTTTTGTTTCAATTAAACCTAAAATGTACGAAATTCGACAAATACACCCAAATTGGTGTGCAATTAACTGTATTTATCAAAAATCTTCTGACTGTTTTGCAAAATTTTCCAAAAACCAGCGGCTTGGGTTGCTGTTTTAAAATGCCTCACGTTGTGGCAAGCAAAGTAACGAACGTTTCCCTGGTTAACAACTCAGTGATGGTGGAAATCGCTTTCGACATGGGTGATGGAGTAGGTCTGAAAAGGAATTGCGATTCACGCCACAGCAGCTGATAGTCGAGGTGGTGGACATCGCTAAACATCCCAGTGTGAATGGAACAAAAGGCATAGAACTGGCGAATGTAGGGACAGCGGTCTTAAATAATCTGAGCTGACACTCGACAGCTTGTGGTTGCCAATAAACAAGGTACCATTGGTAAAAGTAGTTGAAAGCCTACGGAATCCCTCTCGACTGCCGTGACACTAGCTTATCCCCACATGGACGAAAGGTGAACGTCATTCAAAAAGGATCTTCTCGTGAGGCGGACCGGAGAACTTCGGTCTTGACACTCACTGACCCACCCTAACAGATAAAATCCCCTGACCAGCACCTAATACCTATTTAGCTTAATTCAGCCGATTTGTTCTCCTTCCGCTTTAAACACAGACCAATAGTGTAACCTAGCCACTTGGCCTGACGAAGCTTTTGTGTCAAAAGCGATGCGTTGTCCAGCAACAAATCTACCTATTATTTTCCAAATTTTGCCGACAACGATGACTTCTCAGTCGGTTCCAACTGAGTGATTCAAGCCCATTGCAACCCTTGGATAGTGTTCGTTACTGGCCTGTATACTGTTAAATTGGTCTCGGTTTTAGTGTTCTCGAGGGCGCTTCAAGGACAAACTATGTCGCTCTAGGCAAATCTACAGACAAGCGCGCTCGTGAGTGGAAATGCCACCGAGTTTCGTTTCCCATTCGTTGAACTCTGAGGTTGGTTAAATCGTTCCTGCTCTAAAAACCGGTGTGAGAATCCCTCCCATTATCGTTGTTTGCTTAATAATATTACAAACTAGACTATTCTCTTATCACGAACAGTAGTAGTGTTTAGGCCCTTTTTGGCATTATTCCATTTGGACTTTGCGCTCTGTATAAGCTGTATTCTCAGGTGTGTTCCACCTAACAGAAGCAAAGCCTTACAGTTACCCGCTGATAATGAATCTTCGTTTTGGAAAGCAGAAATAGTTTTTAACTGGAGATAGTTTTGATATGAGAGGAGGACAAATTTTTCTTACAACAAGGTATTCGTATCTTTCGTGTTTCATTGTTTTGTAACGGCTCACCCAGTTATTTTACCACGGCCAAATTAAAGTCATCTCCAAGGACTTTTCACATGATTATGTTGGCTCCCCTCAATGATCTTACTGACTAATTTAGCCTGTTTACAGAAATTAAATTTACAATATGTATGCTATCAGATCTTTAGATTCGTAATACTCTCAGTGTCTCACTTATTTTGGTGGACTCATAATTGTCGAAAACCGACTGTTCAAAAATGCAGTCAATCATCTATCGTATTGTCGAGTGAATGGGAAGTTTTCCAAAAGCTTTCCTCCAAACAGTGGTGTGCGACAATGATGTCCGCTCTCTCCGTGTTTGTTAAATTTTGTCAACGATGAGATAAAATGGCGAACTTTGGAAGGTCTCCAAAACCCCGGTGTCCAGATCTCTCGAAGCTGGCTTCTCGCCTACCTGGAATGAGCAGACGACATTATTCTCATTTCTGACAAACATCAGGAAGCACAAGCATTACTAGGAAGGCTAACTAAGTAGACGAGTGTTTGGTGAAGCAGAGGGTACTTCCTCCAAAGAATGTATCAAGCACTGTAACCTAAGTTGACTGGGGGATGTTTTTCGCATGTCTGGTTACCGCCTGTTTCTAATTCAAAGTGTTGGAAGCTTGCAGGTGGGCATCCCATGACATAGCAGAAGGGAATAATGACATTACGAAGTTTGGGCGCTGTTGGTGCCATTTGCCTCCCAGCATTGGATTCACGTAACTTCCCTGTGTTTGGCTAGGGACATTAAACAATATGAAGGCTGACCGATATCAGCAGCCTTCATGCTGTTTGTCAGTTTCTATGCAGATTGTCTGACTGTGTTGGAAGTGTAAAAAACCTCAAATGTATGTAATGGGTTAAACATGGGTCCCCCTGTCTGCCACATTCCTTCCTTTCCACTATGAGGCTTTGCTGAAATAAGTTGACATGGCTGTGTGGTAGTAAATCGGCAGTGTTCTCATCTGATGTTGTTATCAATGATGATGATGACTGTGATGTCGGTAAATCAATAGTCGACCCCCCATTACACGTCATATTCTGCTGAAATCCTATGGTGTTTAAGATTAATTTCTCTGGTTTTCCCTTAAAACATGATCTCCGGTGCCATGGCACTTTTTTGGTAACAGGATTTCCTAATTACAAGTCTAGCGCACGGTGTTCACCTATTTGGATCTTGATGGACACATGTAACACGCTTGGGGCTTTGCGCTTGTGCGCTTTTGTTATCCATGTGACTCAATAAGTTTTACCAAAATGCTAACCTTACAGCTGTACTATGTTGGGGAAACCAAAGAGTGCATGTTAGGCCAAGCTATCAGTAAGCGGTAGCGATTGGATTCATGTTACCTAGGTCGCTTAATCACTCCTTAATTGGCCGCTTATTGAATGCGTTCTAGGAGGTTTGCAAACGGCCGTCGCTCCATGTTCATCTGTGGATCGTATTTTATTTTTCATGAATTTCTCATCATTTTAGCTAAGTATAATCACACAAATCGATTCCTGATTGATCCAACTGCTGGAATCATCTCGATTTCAAGATACCACCTTCTATGGTCGGTGATTTATGATTCTCCGTCCATTGCTTTTTGGAGGTGCCGATTGTTTCATCAAGTAATCGTCACGTGCCTTCATTCGCACGGAACACACGCTTACTTGGTTTGTGTCTGCGCATCGTCCGCATGGGGAACAGCAATCGGACCGTAGGTCTTCCTTATGGTAAAAATCTGGCACTGTGCGTGAATCACGCGTTTGTGCTAACTCCCTTGTTTTTTCATCGCTCGATCAATGTGTGATTTGTTTTGTCAGACGACCGTTCCCCATCAGTCCTGTGCCAAAGCTCCGCTTGTAGTTGCCAAACTGTCCAGTAACTTGATCGGTGTTTCTTATTTGGCAGTGGTGTTGGATGCATCAAAACCATTGTTTACGATTGCGTTAATTCGGGTTCTGGAGTGTGCACCAGGTTGATGGAGGTGAACTTTTTGCTACCACAGCGAAAACCGAGGTGATCCTGTCTTTTCCCTCTAATTTGTTCCCATACTTTCAGGTGTAGTGGATGTTTTCTGACAAAATATGGTATTTCGCTTGTGCAGACTGCTTATTTGTGCTTTACGAGTAAGAGAATTGGTTTCTTATCCACCTATTTACGACCGCTTCCCTTAAATAATTTCTCATAAGAAAGCTTATTGATTTCGGCATTTGTTACTACCAGCTGATAAGAATTTCTGCTGTTACAGTTTTACAATTGATTTACAATTAGCATACCAAGCGTCATTTAATCTGGCAACTACGCTACATAATATCGACGATAGTAAGTTAGCAATATCATGCATTTCGGCTGAGTGCTAGACTAATACCTGACCCCAAGAACTGTGATTGGTTCATTCATTTGCCTGTTTGGGTCTTAAGATTTTCACACTTTCTGGTCAACAGTTGTTACGTTTTTGTGTGCTTCTCAGTTCGAATGTCCAAGTTGTGAGGACTTGTTACGATGAACGACGTTTAGATATTCTACGCGAACTGACCAATGCATGATCGCTTCCATTTATTTGTATTTTCCTTTCGTCAGCTCCGTGCCATCTGAACGTGACTATCGTCCGCGCTTGGGTCGGTCTGGTGAACGACAAGAAATACCAGTTACGCCAACGCAAGACTCCTTTTATGAACGCCGTTCAGACCGTTTTTCACTTAATGCCGAACAACCTAAAAGCACACCCAGATCCCCTGGCACAAGCAGTTGGCGCAAAAGGCATCGGCATCATAAGAAACACAGACATCGGAGTCCATCATAGCTCTTCAGTTCCGTGACTGGCTTTATGTACTACGAGACCTGTGTAGTTGACGGGGTCATGACCCTGCCATTTAACACCTTTGGTGACCTGTGGTGCTGCGTTATACACCTGATATCTGTCTCGAAAATTCTGGGAGACTGACGTTCGGAAAGTTAGACATTTTGTCTAATTCGAAAAAAAACTTTTGTGGTCTACGGCGGCTGTTATGTTTGGTATTTGTTGGTTCCTAAAGTGATGTGATGCAACCTCAACCATTTTTCTCCAAGAGCTTCAGCAATTGGGTGTGGGGAACGTTTTAAAATTATTATATCTCCACCTGAGACGACCATGATATCCGAGTTCATTCTAACATAAGAATAAACGTTCAGTTCTCAGAATATCACTTTACCGGGTCATCTTCGACTTGGGGCGACACTCAAGTAAACTGGGTCCAGTCGGTTATTTTTAAGTTGATCAGCGACACAAACAATCAGCCACCTGGTATCTGGATGTATTCTTCATCTCACTAACGTGAGCAGGCTCGTCCTGCTTTCTTTTTGCGGTTTGTTTTGCAAATTCGAAAAAAGATGGTTCAGAAGCTCACTCACGGTAGCGAAATACAAACAAAAGAGGCAGAAGCAATTGTGGAAAACACTTCCCGTCACAGAGGGAAACACTGCGCGAATTTCCACGCCCCATGCCACAAGGTCAGTCCGTGTTGACTGTCACATATTCCGGGAGCTGTGCCCCTGATGGGACGCAAACATGGCGGAGCCGATCTCGCTGGTCGTTTGGTGCTACGGCGATATTTGTCGATCAAAGATGTCCCGTCCCAAATTGCTGAAAAAGAGCTGTACACCCGTGGACGCATACTAGTCTGTGGCCAGCTAGTCCGAGTTCAATACATTTATTATTTTCAGTTGGGATTTCATCCTGTCACTGAGACCAATCTATGTGCAAGGACAGGAGGGTGCGGGATGGCGTAGTGGTTACTGACCGGAATTTGAATTCAACCTCTGCATTTCAACTTCTGGCTAGGCTTGGGCGACCTGGCATCATCTCAGCCCTCGTGCCTTTTTCGGGTGGCGTGGCAATTGGGCCCCGAAAGACTGTACTGGCTGAACGATTCCCGTCACAGAGACGGGACGTTATCGTGGTGTGGCGGTCTGTGTACCTCGGCGACCTATTGAGCTATACTGGGAGGGTATCCGCGCGACACTCAGAGTCTTTCATACCAAGTCGGTCCATGGGTAGAAGTCTAAATAACACAGTCTCCTGGTCCTTCAAGTTGGTGGTTGGAACATGTGTGACGGCGTGTTTCGTAAAAATGATAATCTTACATTTCCCGACAAACTGCTGCCTTGTGGTCAGGCTTTTGAGCCAAAGGCTTTAGTGGAAGATCCTAGTCGTCTTCCTGCTTGGGTCTACGCGCCCTGGCATTATCCCAGCCAACGTACAGATGATACTTACAACTAACAATGTTCTGATTCTACATCGGCCGTCACGTGGTGTCACCAGCCGGATCGCCCTACTTGCTGCATTCAGCAAGACGAGTAAGCGAGACCATACTACTACTGACGCCTCCCTTCCTACAATTTCACGTTTTCAGTCGTCCACCCTCCCCCACCCAAATTTGAATACTTTCTCCACAGGTCCCAGCGCTAGAACTGACCGTTTTACTCGCCTTGCATCACACTCAGCTGCAGCTCCTTTACGTTCTAGTTCAGTCACAACGCTAAGCACTTCGAAGTCTGTTTTCAAAACCCAAAAGCCTGTCTAATTAGCCGCCTTTAATGGTCGTACACTGATGCAAGCAGCACAACAGGTGACTCCTGCTCATATTCTGGATTCTCTCTACATTGACGTATACTTTCTGTCAAAAACGAGGATACAAAACAAGTACGGTGGTTCAATTGACTGCCCCCCCCTCTCGATCTCTTCCCGGTTCCAGCTGCGCACCTCTGATGATGCAGAGGCCGCTGAAGCTGGATATGCTGGGGTCCGACCGAGTGGAAGCATTTCTACTTAATTGGATATTCGTTGATGGTCGCCTCTGCGCGGTTCGTTTGGCAACGTCTTTGAGAAGCTTTCGAGAAAGTGAAGTTCATTGCGCTCCGTTTATTGTGTCTGCTTGCACCCCAAATGACCGTAACTCTGAATCTGCCAAAGATGGTTTCTTTAACATTCTAGGTGCTCTTTTACAACGGACTAAATGCGAAGGTATCGTTGCGTTTGGTGGTGACATGATCATCCAGGTAGGTAGGCTAAGCGCTGCTGAGGTCCGATTCAGTGGTCGCCTTGGATCGGACACAGGACATACGGACAACGAAGATAGTCTGCTTCAGACGTATGTCGATTACAAACTGTCTGCTTGCAGGTGAAACTGAATGTTCATGCAGACAGAATCTTGGTGGACCCGAAAGGCTGTAGGAATGGAACATGCGAAAAGTACTGAAAACGTCCGCAAGCTGTTCCACTTGATTCGTTCGACCGGTCCTCGAAAGCCTCTTGTCAGCGAAGTTTTTTGGAAGTAGAACGGATCCCTGATATCCAGCAAAGCAGAACGCTTGGACCCCTGCGCAGTACTTCTAACAGCAGTTATTTGGCCACCTGCTGTGTCCTCCTGGCCTTCAACAGAGAGGTGGACTGTGAACATGGAACAACCTTAAACTTCTGAAGTGTCTGTTTTTCCGCACTCAAGCGTCATCGTGCTGTTGGTCCTGATTGTTTTTCCGCACTCGTGCTGTTGGTCCTGATGAAATTCCAGGTTCTTTGTTCAAGGATGCAGTAGGTTTCTCAGCCAGTGCCTGTTTAGCCCATTTGGGTCTATCTTAGGGAGAGAGGCCATCCTAGACAACTAGGTTGAATCGTTTATGGTACCCATTCTCACAAAGGTACTCGCAACGAATACAGTAACCACACAGGTGTTAGTTTGACTCCTGTTGTAACAAAGCTTCTGGCGTCAGTGATTCTTCGTCGTCTTACGGTGGCACGTGAAACCGTGACTCGTGAGAATCAGGCGGGATTTCGACCGGGAGCCACTCAAACACGTACAGATGACCCACAATCTTTATGTTCCTTGAGTGTTGATCGGTCAGTACTGTAAACTACACTTGCTCAGCAGGGTATGCCACACTAGTTCGCGAACATAATCCGATTTCTATGTTCATATACTTCGGGGTGTGTGAGGTTGAATGGTGAGCTTTCCATAAGCTTCCCTACAAAAGTGGTGTCCGGCAGGCATGTCCACTCTCTCTTCTTGTTCAGCTTCATCATTCATGAAATAATGAGATGAACGCTGGAAGCTGTTCAAAGTGCTGCTTACGAGAACCTTGTTGATCTGGAGTACACAGAGGACATCACTCTCATTTGTGAAGCCCAAGGCGAAGCACAAGACTGATGATCGTCGTGCCATCTTCCGGGATGCGCCTTGCACCTTCAAAGTGCGCAGTCGTGCTTCGGGAGAAACGAGCTTGTGGAGAATTTCGCATACCTCGTTAGTTGTATTTAATCTGACGGAAGTGTACCTGATGAAGTCAGTGCAAGAATCTGAAAATCTCGAATCACGTTTTCTAATTTATGGTACTTGTAGCGTCAAAAAGGCATGACATTTGGTCTTAAATGTCGCATGTACCAGGCTATAGCGAGGGCTGTGTTTTTTTACTCACTGCGAGGCGTGACTTCTGTGGACTGGAAATGTGAAGCGTCTTCAGGTTTTTCACCACCGATGCCTCAGAAACGTTGCTGGTTTTGGATGGCGTCAGCGGGTTAGTTACGAGGTGACAAGAAAACGGGTATTTGGTTGTACAGCAGGTACTTGGATTGCGGAAAACATCCAGCACCATCAACTGCGGTGACTCAGTCATGTGCTACGCATGCCGAAGCACCATTTACCTGGATGAGTGTTGTTTTCCGTGCCTCTTTCAGAATGGCGCAAACCGTGATCTGGATAACGTATGACTTGGCGGGAAAGAGATTACGAAGAGTCTGGGTGTTGTTAGTGTTGTACGCCTTCTAGGATTGGGTCCCCTTTAACCCGCCTACTCTTCGCTGGAGATATTGCAAGGTTTCAGTGACGTTCGTTATGTCATTTTGTTTCCAGATTATCTGATTGAACGCTTAGAGGTTTAGACACCTTAGAATACTTGACGTAAACCAACACTATGTCCCCTCCCTCACCCATTCTTCTTTTTACTCTGAGGCCTTGGTTTTTTGAAGCAGTAAAGCATGAGTGTCGACACTAATGTTGCTATCTCTGATGATGATCATCATCCTTAGTGGAAATCATCAGCAGTACGAATCTCAGGAAGCTTTAAGGGGACTCAACCCCGCGACCTTTTGACTGATCAGCAATGTGATTAGCTCTAACTTAGACAGGACAGCACCACTCATTCTCCAAGCATGGAAATCACATCACGTGTTAACGTTTTGACTCGCTCCTCGAGCGATGACTTCTCAGATGGAAGTTTCACTAATCTTGCGAAATTATTACTACCTATAGATTGATGGTATTGTGAGACTTGTTCATTTACAATAACGTCACAAGATGAGTGAAAATCCCATCTGAGAAGTCGTCACTCGAGGGGCCAGTTAGTATGTGACCACGTGATGTAGATTCTGCAATTGAAAGATGAGTTACGCTTCAGTTTATCCAAGTTAGAGCTAACCACACAGTTGTCCAGCCGCTCGTGGTCGAACAGTGTTCAACCAGCCAAAAGGTCGCGTTCTGGAGGCTCTCTACTGGAGTTTCGTAAGATGCTCACTACTTCCTAATAAGGATGAAGCAACTCTACAATGTTTCTCGCCTTTCAGCATAGACTGGCCTCAATGACAGGACGGAATGTCAGGTGAAGATTCTCAAACCTCAAAACTGACATCCATTGTTGTCCAGCTGGACAGTTTTGGTACCTGCATCTGAATCCTCGAGGTTTGGGAGGATACTTTGGGTTTATTTCACAGACACTGTGTAGGCAGATGATAGTGCTCTTCTTAGACCCATCGGAAATGAATCCACTCTGTTAAGCTTAACTGAGTCACGCAGTGTGACGTGCGCTTTGCTCCTGCAAAGTGTAAGGTGCTATACGAAATTGGGTGGGACCACTCCTGTGGATAGGCTGATCGATGTGGTAGTGTAGCTTTCACTTATCTTGTCAGGCTGTAGATCACGGTGGACTAGCGAAAGATGAGATGAATCAATCCAGCCTTCAACACCTTTTGTGCCGTCGCGGCATCAACGGCATCTATCAACAGTGATATCTTAGAGTACTGCAATTTCATCACCACAGGCTGCCATGGGGGGGGGCGGTTTATTGGACCTCTCCTGGAGGTATGGTGTGCCTTCCGGGAACAAGAAATAGACTGTTCAAACAAGAATGACATTGATGGGGTAAATCTTGCCTGGCGGAGAAACTCGTGAGCGCCCGATGGGAGGGGCCGGTTGTCGCAAATGTCTTCCTATAAGGTGTCACTCTATCACCTTACATCAAGTAAACTGAGTCAGCTGTCGTTCATGAACAACCAAAGGATCGATGAGCTGAAAAATTTGAAAACCAGAAGTTCAAGTCAGGTGCTACGCACAACCGCATAATGTGTGTAAGTCCACATTGCCCTACTTTCAACAGAAGTCACGGGGGCGTTTGGATGAATGAGTTTCAAACGTTCATTGGTATGGAAATGAAGTGCTAGACTCACCGTCGAGTTGGTTCTTATCGCTAATAAAACAAGGGATAGTTTCATATCGAATGTTTTTGGTGTGCCACAACAATCAATTACCGGTTAAGTAAGTTGAATGGTTGAGTTATGGAGTGGTAAGCCCGTCATCTTTAGTCAGGGGTGTGTTTTAAGGGAGTGGGGCTTTACACACCTGCTTCTTTGTTGGTACACTGTCGTAATTCCGACATGCCTTGTCATCCTTTTGACCGTAAATTGGCATATCCGATAAAGAAACGCTTCGTAGGCGTATATGGGATACTGAACGGCAATCAAGTTCTTGCGCAAAAAATGGGCTGAGTCGTCACCGAATACAATCATGTGAATGTCCCAATACACAAGTTTGTAAACGTGAGGCTGGTTGTACAGAACTCACCACGCACCACTTACAGGTAAAAATTATGGTGGTACTTGTGTTCCGTGTCTGGTCTGGTAAACTTAATCAGATAAACTACCTAAGCATTCTTAGATTAGTGTCCTTAGCCTTCACTGAGGCAGCAAACAGCGAGCTGCTGGTGTGGTGATAGTCGTAGGCGTATCTCGTTCATCGTTCTTTGTGTACCGCTGGAATTACCCATCTTACGAGAGTAGGGCACCAACCGAGAAGGGGGTAACAGACACGAACATGCTCGCGAGGAAAGTTGCATGTTCATAGAAATGAACTTGATTAAAGTGACATTCAGTTCAAACCCAGCATACGCACCATTTACTGGAAGATTGTGCTTCAGAAGGATAGCTTCTGCTACATATGGAATGGTGGAATGTGGCTATTCGTGTCAATGTTCCTAGTGCTCCAATGATCCTAAACTGATTACGCCGATCTAGGATGATCGTTCTGAGATAAATGTCAGTGTGTGTGCAAACAAAGGTTACTAAGATGTTTGCTCGATTGCCCCGAAGTGCTTCAACAGCACTGCAGAGTATGCGTTTACTCAACTACTCGATTCCGATCGATCGTAGGGAGGAGCAAAAGCCTTTTCTTATCCTGTCACACTTACTGTGCTACAGACCTATCTCCAATCATCGGTTGTGGCGACAGCTGAAAAATTCCGGGCATACCTCACTGATCGA